CGACTTTTAAAGAATCTCCCAGGGGGGACAGAATCTCCACACCGAGAGGCCAAGAGTTTCTTCCACAGAGTTCTACTTTCCCTGAAATTATTGAGTTGCAACGATCAGGTAGTAAGGGCATTGTAAAGGAATTAAACTAGATTACAGGAGACATGTGCCCAGAGCCTTGGGGAGGTTTTTAACGAATGTAATGGCATTATAAGGTAGATCTTAATGTACAAATAATTTTTTGTTTTTATGATCCCATGCTAAATAAACTATCATAAAAACAAGTGGTGATACTACCTAAACTTATGGAGCACTCCACATGCCCAGTCTGTCTGCAGATGAGTGCATTTGACCTTGAGTCAGCCCTGGCACAGGCTAGACTCTCAGGTACAGAGATTGGAAGGCATTTTCCCAGGACACCAGCAGATAACGGGTAGACCCAGGGTTGGAAACCACTGCTCTTAATGTCAAACATTATTCCTCCTTGAGTGTCCTCGTGTTTTAGCGTAACTAAAAATTAAACACGTTTCTATTCTTCTTTTTCTCTAAATCTGAAATCGTTTTTAAAACTGTTTGGAACACATTTCAGGACAGGAATGACAAAATCACCAGCCGCTCCAATCTCAGCACCTTCAGGAGAGGACCCATGGCGGGTGTGTTCAATCTCCCAGCGCACAGGAATGGGGAGTATCCGACACCTGCCCAAACCTGCGGCCAGCACTCGGTCAGCAAGAACTCCTATGCACACTACCCTGTCCCATGTGCCGAACCCGCTTCCGCACTGCCTTTACATCAACATACTTGAATGATCGGTGAGCTGGGTTGTGATGTATAAGACACCCATCTTTCTATAAGTAGAGAGGCAGCCCAGGCACACACACCCACTTAGAGAGGCAGGAGAAGCAAACCCACTCTCTGTGCTCAGGAAAGCGAAGGTTGTTGGTGAGTAAGCTCGGAATCGCAATAAGCCTCAGTCCAGAGGAGTTTTATTGCAGAGGGATAATCCCCGAGGTTTACAATGAGGTGCTGACGCAGCTCCGGCTGCGGAATCACACACTCAAGGCTGTGTGCGCCTGTCAGAAATTCCTATTTACTTCCAGCGTCCTAACAGATGTGCTTTCCTGCCTTTAAACCCCCCCCCCCCCAAGTTAATTGCTTGTCTATCAAGAAGATAAATATCTTGTTTTAGGCTGCACAGCTATTACATGAGGGAGGAAAACCAATACCCTTACAAGACATTGTGTCCAAAATTCATCTGCAGTAAGGAAGCCAAGCTCTCTCAGAGCATGAGGAAGGTACTAGAAAGTGGTAGTCAGATCACTCCAAGGTCTTAACCATTACAGGATTCTCCATAGAACAATACTGAAATGCATACTACACTTAGATTTTATTGTGCCAATAGGCTTGATTTACTGCTACATAATGACTATAATCTTTTTAAAACATATTTTTATTGATTTCAGAGAGAAAGGGAGAGAGAGAGAAACATCAATGATGAGAGAGAATCATTGATCAGCTGCCTCCTGCACGCCCCCTACTGGGGACCGAGTCTGAAACCCAGGCATGTGCCCTGACCTGGAATTGAACCGTGACCTTCTGGTTCATAGGTCAATGCTCAACTACTGAGCCATCCCAGCTGGGTAATATTTTTCCAAAACGAATTTCAAAATGAAGGTAACATTCCTTTTTATTTTACTTTATTTTTTCATCACCATTGAAAGTGACATTCTTGGGAACAAATAATAATGCTTTAGACAAAATGGACCTTCAACATATCAAGCCCAGTATTTTTCAAACTATAAATCCTGACCTGTTTAATGGCTGTAGAGGTAAGAAATAAAATAGACAAAATAGAAAATATCACAGAGAGTAAGAGGAAATGTCATTTTGGAAAATATCTGTCGGGTAAGCACACAGGCGTGCTGTGGAGTGATGTTAGGTGAGTTTCTTACTGTGAGGGCCTAACATTGAGAACAGGATTCTGAGCAGCTTGTTCATGTGTGGGCTCTGGGAGAGTTCCCTAAGGCACAGCTCGCTAAGTCAGCCGGCATAGACCTATTTATCTATGATCTTACCCACAGCCCATGTTTATGTTATTCATATCAATGACTGAACGTGCCTTGAAATGACACACACACACACACACACATATAAAATCCTAAGCTACTGGTAGACCTTTCGACCAGTCGACCCATTGACCGGTCGCTATGATGTGCACTGAGCACCAGGGGGCAGACACTCAATGCAGGAGCTGCCCCCTGGTGGTCAGTGCGCTCCCACAGCGGAAGCGCCACTCAGCAAGCTTACCAAGAGGCGGCAGCAGCAGGTGTAGCAGGGTCAGCATGAGCTGGGTTGGCAGAGTGCCTGGTCTGGGCTTGGGCTTCTGCGGCCGCCTGCCACTTCACGTCCACTACATCCCCCAAGGGTCCGGGATTGCGAGAGGGCGCAGGCCAGGCGGAAGGACCGCACTGGTGAACAGATCTGTGCACCGGGCCTCTAGTATGATATATAAGCTAGAAGCCTGGTGCATGGGATTTGTGCACTGGTGGGGGGTGTGGCCTGCGGGGATCAGTCCACAGCAGGAGCAGCTGCTCATCCTGGTCAGGAGAGTGCCTGCTGTGATAGCAGCCTCTCATCCTGGTCAGCCATGCGGTGCTCGCATTGTGGGAGCGCACAGACCACCGGGGGCAGCTCCTGCATTGAGCGTCTGCCCCCTGGTGGTCAGTGCGCATCACAGCAACTACTCGGCCAGTTGTTCTGGTCATTCCACCCTTCAATCGCTGCGCTTTATTATATAGGATAACCTGTCCCTTACGTACATATCTTAATTTCATACTTTAATCCTACTCTTGCCCTTGATATATGGCTCTATAGTGTTTACATTGCAGGGACAATTTAAATATTTATGTGAAGGTAGATAATGATGACCATAACACAAAGTGTGTTATTTATTTATTTATTTATTTTGTTAATGGCAGCTCGAGCATATAAATACACATGTACTTTTCAATTTGATGTTCACAGTCACCTGCTAAGATAGGGACCTCCTATTTTCAGAGAGAGAAGTGGAGGGTTAGCGAGAATGCATGCTTTTGGTTTCACGAAGTGGTGTAGCCATGCTTTAGCCCTGAATGGCCTGGATCCAGCACTCAGAAACAAGAGAAGTAGACCTGTCTGCACTCCAGAACTGAAAAGTTACTGGAAGCGTGACTGAAACACCTGGACAAGACCATGTGGGCGTGCTCAGATCTCTAAATGTCTTGTTCTGTGCCCATGAGTGGGGGGAAATGTCCATTTTGTCTGTTTTAAAAATTTATCTTTATTGTTGAAAGTATTGCAAAGATTCCCTTTGTTTGTCTGCTTGTTTCCCATTGACCCCATCCACCCCATACCCACCCCTCCCAAGCCTTCAGCACTCTATTGTCTGTGGCCATGGGCTATACATATCTACACTAATAAAAGACAAACATGCAAATTGACTGTACCTTTGCTATGCCTTATGCCACACCCACCAACCAATCAGAGCGACTGTATGCAAATTAACCCAACCAGTCTGCATCCCTACCAGCAGGGCACCAGGCTTCTCTTTTCTCCACATCCTCGCCAGCACTTATTGATTTGTTGATAGCTATTCTGACACGTGTGAGGTGATAAAATGACATTTATTCTTACTATATGGATGTCGCTTTAATTTGCAACTCTCAAATGATTAGTGACTTTCATATGTTTTTTGGCCATCTGTATGTCCACTTTGGAGAATGTGGAGTATGTCCATTTTAAAATTCGATTACTTGTCTTCCTTTTGTTAAGTTGTCTGAGTTCCTTACATATTTTGGAAATTAACCCCTCATCGGATGTATCATTGGCAAATATGTTTTCCCACAGTGGGCCCTCTCTTCACTTTGTTGGTGGTTTCTGTTGCTTATGCAGGAGCTTTTTATTTTGACGTAGTCCCATTTGTTTATTTTCTCCTTTGTTACCTTTGCCCTAGAACAGTCGTCGGCAAACTCATTAGTCAACAGAGCCAAATATCAACAGTACAACGATTAAAATTTCTTTTGAGAGCCAAATTTTTTAAACTTAAACTATATAGGTAGGTACATTGTTATTAACTTAATTAGGGTACTCCTAAGGCTTAGGAAGAGCCACACTCAAGGGGCCAAAGAGCCGCATGTGGCTCACAAGCCGCAGTTTGCCGACCACGGCCCTAGGAGATGTATCGGTAAACATATTGCCACAAGAGATGTATGTGATTTTGCTGCCTATGGTTTCATGACCTACATTTAAGTCTTTTATCCATTTTGAGTTTATTCTTATGTATGGTGTAAGTTGGTGGTCTATTTTCTTTCTTTCTTTTTTTTTTATTGCATGTTACCTGTCCAATTTTCCCAACACCATTTATTCAAGACCTATCTTGACTCCACTGTATCCTCTCACCTCCTTTCTCAAATATTAATTGAGTGTAATGTCTTGGGTCAACTTCTGGGCCTCTGTTCTATTCCACTGATCTATATGCCTATTCTTATGCCAGTATCAGGCTATTTTGAGTATAGTAGTTTTGTAGTAAAGTACCACTTACATGGCATTGTTATCCCTAATTTACAGTCAAGCAATGATACAGTAGAGAGGTTTACTCAAGATGGACCATCTCAGAAGTGATGACCTCTCTCTATGAAATAAGAGACAAGGCCATCTGTTCCAACAGCATTGGGAATCGGGTTGTGGAAATGACAGAGCACCTAGTAAATGAGAAAAGTGATTCCTGGCAGAGAAAACAGCAAAAAATACCAGATTATTTAGTAGTTATTATATAATGAAAAAATAATCTGGAATAACTACATTTTTCAAGCACTAGCTGAACAGTCAGTGTATCCTCCTGTATAAGGTCCAATAGATGCTTTAATGAACAATGGACTTTAGTTTTGCAAAAGAAACAGGAATATGGTTCAAACTGATGCTGCTGACACCAGTCCTCTGTAATATTTAATCTTCGCTCGTGAGGACATTTCTGTAACACAGTCACATGAAAATAATGTCTCAGGTACCATTCCACAGGTATTTCATTACGTGAAAACCACATCCTGGGGATCACAATCCAATCACTAATTTAAAACTAATTATTTCAACATTAATCTGGATAGTGGCCCATAATGAACATGAAAAGAATAATGTGACATTTCAGGGGTTTCCTATCTGCCCCAAATCAGATACCAAAAATATCTTCACTATTGTCGCCTATTTTTCATTAGATTAAAGTATGGTCTAAAATGATCCAAAAGGACTGACATATTTACAAATTATATTTCAGTTGGTCATAGAATTCAGTGAATAAATAAGAGTTTTAACACTGAATTAATTAAGAAAAGCTTAATTTTATAACATTATTTTGGTGTGGGAAGATAATACATACTGTTTCACCATATGGTCTCACAGTCCTTTTGCTAATTACCTAAAATCTCACACAGGTTTCACGGCTGCTGCAATTATTAACTGCATTGCATTGTGCTTCCCCAAAGACTTCCTCCCTTCATCCGCTTTTGTTTTAAACACTGTCAGAGAACATTCATATTTTGAATAACACTTATTGCATAGCATTAAATATACAAATATCTATATATATAAAAAGCCAGAGACCATAACACCATCATGACCATAATGACCTAATGACCAGTCGCTATGACACCCACTGCGGCCAGCAAACTGGCCTGATGCGGGCCAGATTGCCCCCAACACCCTGATCAGGGCAGCCAGACTCCAATCTATCAGAAGCAGTGGCAATTGGCGAGCTGGAGGAAGGCAGACCGCTTGGTCCCTCCCCCTGGCCCACAGGCTCCGATTGATCAGGGGATGGTTAACGGGGGAACCAGGATGAGTGGCATGGTAGGGACTGGCGAGTGAGTGGAAGGCAGACCTCTTGGTCCCTCCTCCCGGCCCTCAGGCTCCAATCGATTGGTGGCCGTGGCGGGGTGGAACTGGGGACTGGCAATCAGGTAGAATATGGCCATGATCACAGGCTAGGCCTAAGGACCCTAAGTGTGCACAAATTCGTGTGCTGAGCCTCTAGTCTTACCTAATAATAGACAAACATGTAAATTGACCATCCCTCAGCTACGTTCACCAGCCAATCAGGAGAGTATGCAAATAACCCAACAAAGATGGCAGTTAATTTGCATACATAAGCGCGAAGCGGCAGAGCGAAGACTGAAGGCTCTGGCCGGAGAGAAGGCCTGGGTACCAGATGCCAGAGGAAAACCAGTGCCGGTAGCCAGGAGAAGGGAAGGACTATTGCACGAATCTCTTCATACAATGGGCTTCTAGTATATTAATAACTATATATACATGTATTTAAAGAAATGATGATTTACATTCAAATTAATGCTAATTCCTTGTAAAAGCTTCAGCAGACCAACCCTTCCAGGAGTTGTATTTGAGTCAACATTTTAAAATTCCCCATTAGAGGAAGGCGGTCTGGAGCAGGAGGTGTGGCCATGGGCATTAAAGTGCTGTGATCACAGTTTCTGATGTAAAAAGCAATTAGCTCTTTTAAAAAATGATCTCTTTTATATAAGCCACATATAATTTTGAACATCTGCTTTAAACCATGTTAGAATTAAATCTGAATTTTATCATATAATAAATCTAGAATAATTATTAACTTTTTAAAGAGTAAGCAATTAGATAGCATGGCAGAGGAAATGATATAAAATTAAAATAGAAGTATTTAAGTCCTAATAAAACCATTGCTCCTGTCCTTCCCCAGATATTTTATATGTCCTACCCTTCATCGATTGGACAAACTGCCTGGCCCAGTGTAGATTCTCACTGGGCCAGGACTGTGACTGACAGATCACAGGTACCAACCAGCCATGAGGGTCTGCACAGGGCGGGGCTGAAAGTATTTGTGGAAATACTAGTACAAGTTCATTGCTCTCAGCTCGAAGAGCTTTACTCTTTAGTGAATATACTGACTTAAGACATTAGTCATGTACAGTAGTCTATAAAAAGCTGAAATAATACTGAATATAACAAATAATTCATTGGTATCCTAAAGGGTACCTTTTAAGTAGCAACTGTAATTCTTCCCTGAGCTTTCTACTATCCTGCAAGCTAACAGGCTTTCTTCTTATTAACACTGCACAGATCTTCCAAAAGCTAATATCTATGCCTGATTTCCCAGGATGCCTACACTGCTAATGGAACATAGTAATTAAAGCTCTTTTGAAACAACCCCAAATCTCGGCATTTTCCCACCCAGCCCGATTAGGAGCTGCTGTAACACTAATCACCGACGATGTGATAAACATTTGATGTGGCCGAGGTGGCCATGCTCTGAAATCCCTTCCCTAGAACGTGACGTCTATCCAGGGGAGAATGTGGAGCGAGTAATTAAGGTGTTTCGACTTCCAAGAGCTGATTCTACCCTGAGTCATCGGTAAAGTCTTCACACCATAGATCTCTTCCTTGTAATATTCTCACTTTCTTTCATAGTAAATGGCCTGGAATTCTGCCAGTGTTGTAAAAGGCCACTTTTCCCATTTCCTCCCATTCACCAAAATTGTAATAAGTTATCAATAGACCATGCACCATCTTATATATTTATTTGGAAACAGGGCCCCAAATTGATAATTAGTGTCCAGGATAAAACACTTGCTAATCATAAATGCTAACTAGCAAAGCAAAATATCAATAGGAGGCAAAATGAGTCTGAAAAAGAATGAAAAAAATTTATAGAAATACTAGGCCACAATTTAAAGAGACTTTGGAGGGAACCAAGATGGCAGCATAGGTAAATGCCTATACTCTCTGACTCCCACAACCACATCACAATTACAACTACATACAGAACAGCCATCATCCAGAACCGCTGGAAAGCTGGCTGAATGGAAGTCCAACAACTAGAGAAGTAAAGAAAGCCCACTGAGACTGGTAGGAGGTGCGGAGGCTCAGAACGGGCTGGTCCGGCACCCACGTGGGCCCCTTTGTTAATTGGGAGGGAGATCATCTCTGCAGAGGCCGCCTAGAGAAGCAAGGGGTCCAAGCTGCACACCAGCCCCCCAGCCCAGGGTCCCAGAGCTGGGAGAAGAACTTCCTACAGGCAGTGAGAACTATGGGCTGTAAAAACCAATGCAGATTGGGGCTCAGTGACACAGAGGCTGCTGGAGACCCAGCTGTTCCTCTTAAAAGGCTGGCACCCTGAACTGAACTTACAAGGTCCCGCTTCCTCTGAGCTCCAGTGCCAGGGTGAGCCTCTGGGAACACAGACACATATGAGGAGGAACTGGATTATCTGGCACTGGGGCAGGGATTCGGGGATGGCTTTCTCCCAGATGGAAGTGCTCGCAGGGATCACGGTTCCTATGCTGGGACCTTCCTGGTCAAAGGGCTGACTGGTAGTCATTTCTGTTTGCTTTTCCCTGGTGATTCCCTAAGACCCCACCTCATCCAATTTACAACCCCAACCAAGCTGCCTGCAGTGGCTTTTGCATATGAGGGGCCTGTCCTTGCTCAGACTAAAATCTGTCAAACAAGCTGTAGCTGGGTCAGGGAGCCACAAACCTATCAATGGCCCAAGTCCTGGCACCAGCACCAGCCTGCCTTGCTTCATAGATGGGCCTCATATGGGCACTCCCAAACCAGATACAAAGAGGAGGAATCTACAGATCTCTCTGTAGCTTCTGCTGGGTGGTCCCAGGTAGTGGTTGACTTTGCACCTCCCTGGAGGCCTTAGAGCCAGTGTTATAACATACCATATTACAACTCTACACATCCATAAGGGACACACTCAAGAGGCTGACTCAGTGAGCACCAAAGCTCCACTGAAGCAAGTCCTGCTCCATAGAGGTGTCTCCTGCACAGCAGCTCTCCCACTGTAGTCACAGCTGGTCCTCATAGCCCCATGGTTGGCAAACCGCGGCTCATGAGCCACATGCGGCTCTTTGGCCCCTTTCCACGGTTTGCCAAGCCACAGTTTGCCTACCACTGGCCTACACTTACGAAAATAAAGAATAATTTACAGGGATTCAACAGTAGAGTAGAGGATTCTGAGAATCAGATCAATG